TGCCTAATGATGTTCTTCTCTGTTCTCTGATCAAAGTCAACCATTATAAATGTCCACTGTGTGATATGACCTGTCCATCACCATCCTCGCTGAGAAACCATATCAAGTTTCGTCATTCCAACGAGAAGCCTTACAGCTGTGACTACTGCGAGTACAGGTGGGGTCACTTCATTACCAGAGACGGTGAATCATAATCCCTGGATATTTCTAATCTTTCCGTCTGCCATTTAAGACCTGTTTGTCAGAACATGGTCTGTCAGTTTGTTTGTTTGTCTGGTTTTTCAGCTGTAAAAACCTGATAGACTTGCGGAAGCATTTAGACACACACAGCAGTGAGCCAGCATATCGATGTGACTTCGCTGATTGCGACTACTCCACCCGCTCCCTTTACTCAATCAAGAACCACTACAAACGTGTTCATGAGGTGAGCCAGGCAGAAAATGACAGCCACATTCATATCTACATATCATGACTTCAATATAAAATCACGAAACCACTTCTATTGTGTTCCACAGAATAAAGTCAGTCAAGTTTGGAAAGACATGTAGCAAATTATTTTATTTTATTTTTGGCCATGAATATGGCAATAAAAAGGAGGATAAGCAATCAATAATATATAAAATTAGTACATTTCGGACTAATGTTGTTTTACCAATTTTTAATTATTTCAAATGTAGAGAGACTTGTGTTTTATAGCCTGAAGTAAGAATTGTTTTAGTAGGAAGGACTCTTGTAATGATAAGGCCCCAGGTAATCTAGAAATAATTAATGTGGGAATATCTACAAATGCAACTCACGTCTTCATTGTCATGATCCTTCAGAAATCATTCTAATATGCTGACTTGGTGCTCATTGTTACATTCAGGACTGGTAATCATTATTTCAAATGTAAACAAGCAAATGCAATTTCTATGAGACTTGTGTTTTATAGCCTGAAGTAAGATTTGTTTTAGTAAGAAGGACTCTTACAATGATAAGGTCCCAGGTTTGATCTATAATAATGATCTATCTAATCTAGAAATAATTAATGTGGGAACTTCTATAGATGTAACTTCTCTCATACAGCCAGCACACATGATTAATGTATAAAATACAAAGGCAGAAAACATTGTGTGAAACATTGTGAGCAAACAAAATTAAATGAAATGTGCGTCAGAAAGTGAATACAATTCTACATCATAACATTTGCACTCATATTCAGCTCATAGCATCAGAATAGCTAAAAATGTTTATTTGCTGTTTTGCATTTAGGGAGATTACACTCCTCGCTATAAGTGTCATGTGTGTGAGCAATGCTTCACCCGGGGGAACAACCTCACTGCCCACCTACGCAAGAAACATCAGTTCAAATGGCCTTCAGGACACCCGAGATTTAGGTATGAAGACTTCCTCCTTCCTTTTAGTCTTGTCTCCTTTTGCTTTTGATTTCAGAAAGCTCTTTCTAGTTTTGTCTGTAATAAACATTAGATGGTCTTTCTCTTATGGGGTGTTTGTCTCAGTTTAAGATTGTTTTTGTTGCTGATTTCCTCAACCTTCACTCCTGTTCAAAAATTTCTGATCGGTGAGATTTTTATGGTTTTGAAAGAAGATCGTTAAAAAATAGTCAAAAGCAGTAATATGGTGAAATTTTATTGCAATTTAAAATAACTCTTTTCTGTTTTTTAATACAATTTAAAGTGTAATTTGTTCCTGTGATGGCAAAGCTGAATTTTCTACTTTTTGAACTTTTTGAACTTTAATTAGTCTGTAATGTTGCTGTTTGAGCATAAAAATTATCTGCAAAGTTGCAAAGCTCAAAGTCCACTTCAGAAGGAGATATTTTATTTAACAGAAATCACTTTTCAAAAACTACAACGAACGACTCGTTTGGACTACAATGCATATTTTCCGGGATTTGTGATATCACAAATACCGATGAATGGGACGAGACCTGGTTGAGCTGCACTAGAGAAGGCAACGAGTGTTATCACTGTCGGAGACACGCTAGCTTTCCCAAGGCAGACGAACTTAGAGTGGTTACAATCATCCGGGTTTAAATCACGCTCAAATTGAATTGATTTTGATGCAATATTTACACTGAAGCTCGCAGGCGGCTATGGTAAAGGGCATGACATTTCCCGACCAGGCGCCGAGTGCTGCCAATCACAACACACACTGGCCCAGCGAACCAATCACAGCACACACAGGCCCAGCTAACCAATCACAGCACATTTCGTATTTCAGAAGGCAGGCCTTCATTTGATACAGGAACTATTCGAGCCGTTCATGCCAGACTGGGGAGATAATGTAATAATGTAAAATATGTGAAAAATAACGTGTTTTTCAAACAACCTAGTATGAGAGCCTGTTCAAGTACACCCCCAAAACAAAATCAAGACTTTGTAAAAGAGCATAATAGGACCCCTTTAAATAAATACTGTTTTAAAGAAAGCTTAAAATGTAAAAAAAAAAAACATAATGCACCCAAACTTTTGAGTAGGTTAACTATACATATAAATGCCATATTTATTTTGAGGTGGGTTTCCAGTGGACAGTAAACCTAACCCATCTAACTTGACTATGGTCTTTTGCCCTGTACCAATCTCTTTCAGGTATAAAGAGCATGAAGATGGGTTCATGCGCCTGCAGTTGATCCGCTATGAGAGCGTGGAGCTAACAGAGCAGCTAATGCGGGAGCGGCAGGGAGAGGGGGACAGCAGTGAGTCCAGCCAGCAGAACGTCCAGCCCGGTGAAGAACTGGAGGAGTCGGGGCCCCTCGGCACCATGGGTGGAAATACAGAGGCAGGAATAAGAAAGGAGGGAGTGAATGACTGTAGGACACAGGAAAATACAGAAAGTGTGTTCTTGGTGTTGACAGCCGGCACCTCCTCAGAAACAGACTCTACAAGGGAGGGGTCCGTAATGCGTCAGCTACAAGACACTGCCCAACAGCTGGGCATGGAGGTGGTTTAACTGCATCTCTGATTACTGCAACGCCCTAAAACTGCTGTGTCAGACAATAAAAAGGTACATTAGGACATTCCAAATAACTCTGTGACAAAAAGTGCTATGATACTAACAGGGGACCAAAGCAGGAATAGAGTGTGTTTGAGGATGCTGTCGTCATCATCAAACCCCTTGAACACCGCACTGAACAGAACAGCTGAAGCTGAATCACTGGTTAGCTCTGAGGATGTGGTTAAATGAATAGTTCACTCAAAAAGGACCATTTTTGTTATAATTTACTCCATAAATGTCCCCATATTATTTTTGTTTGTCACAAAACACAAAATGAGATGTTAAGCGGAGTGTGTGAGTTGCCTTTTTCCATTCAACAAAAATGAATGGTGATTTATTCCACTAAGCTCCAAAATGGACAAAAACACTGTGAAAGTATGTTAAATGTAGCTCCTGTGACTTGTATGTTTTAAGTATTTATGTGATTTTATTTTTTTTTTCCCTGTTTGGAGCTTAGAAAAGTAAGTCACTTTCCTTGTAGGGAAAACACGCGCGCACACATTCAAGATGTCTTATTTCTTGATGGACACTGCAGGGTTGGAACAATAAGATTAAATTACGCCATTTTAATTTTGGGCTAAACTATCCCTTTGAATTAGACTGTGTGTGTGTGTGTGTGTGTGTGTGTGTGTGTGTGTGAGTGAGAGCAACAAACGAGAGACAAAAGGGTAAGGGAGAACAGAAATGTATCCTACTGAACAGTTTAATCAGCTTTCTTTGACTCTTAATGTAAAGGAAGATGGACAGATCTCTGTGGAGAACTCTTTATAGTGTATAGTTGTATACAGTGTGCTTCTGTTTTAAAGATGAATTGGAAGTGCTTCTGAACTTTAAACTGGCCACCATTCCTCTTTAATTTATTTTTCAACTTCAGATCAGTTCTGTTGTCCAGAAAGGCCCATTCTGGATGAAGCTTCCAGTTTCTACTGCTGTTCTATCATAGTAGTAGTTAAAATTAATTGTTTTTTTAGTTGTAGTTAAAATGAATTGTTCTTTTTTTTTTTTTTTTTTTTAATATACATCTTTTCCTTAGGACTTTTATTTGCCATTGAGTCCTAATAATCTAACTGAGATGGAAGAATTCATTTAGGGCAAACTGACTATACTAAAAGACATAATTTTATTTTAAATAAACAATGGCAGTTATTTCAATACATCTTTTGTCCTCTTTGTTTTGTTCTTTTCTAATTAAAATATTTTGATTGTAAACAGAAATATTTTTTTTGCCATTCAAAGTAGTAATTTTTTTTTCTGTTGTGCCATCAGAGGAATGAATTACATTTTAAAATATATTAAAATACTTTAAATTGTAATAGTATTTCACAATTTTACTGCTATCAAATAAATGCAGCCTTGGTGCGCGAGAGACATCTTTTAAAAAACGTTAAAAAAAAACATCTTACCAATCCCAAACTTTTGATCATTAGTGTGTATATATACTGTATATATTCCTCTGTGAGTGAAAAAATGAAAGCTTGTGTATTCAGGTACGGAGTGTGTTCTGGGGATAATCCACTTTGTTCTGTGATCCCGTGTGCTGTGTGACTGTAAGAACAGTACTTGTAAGTCCTGTTTGTTTGAATCTCTCAGGACAAGAGCCAGCAGGCAGGTTGTGCTGGGTTAGGCAGAAGTTTATGCATCACTGCAGTAGTCAGAGGTCAGTGTTTGAGGAGCACTTTTCACAGATCTGTGTCGTTACAGTAATTACAATCACTGCAGGTCTCAAGCACACTAGGAACTCTGCTTAGGGAAGCGAACTGGACAAGATGTGAGAAACATGAACTTTACAATCAGCACAACTGATATTTAAGCTAAACTGCAAATCAGACTTCCCATGGCTCTCTCCCTTTCTCTATAATCTCTTTCTCTCTGCTCTGGTGATGTTAGCTGGTGTGTTAGCGGAATTTAAGAGATTAGTTTGTGTTAACGGCTTAATGTAAGCTAAGATGCAACACTTCCCCTTTCTTTCCATCTGTCTTCTGCAGGAAAACAGGTTTTTGAAAATAGCCTTTAAAGAATACAGTTCCTAATGCAAATTGTTTTTCTATATTATTCACATAATGACTTCTACGATATGAGACAACAGAACAAGGAAACACTGATTAGAAAATGAGTGGGAGACGTTCAGAAGAAGAGAACTGAAGAGATATAGACAACTTATGTTTTGGAGAAGAATTTCCACCATTAAAACAACATGAAACTAGGAAATCTTCTGCTGCTGTTTCTGGGGTCCTTGAATGTGGTGTTCACTCGAGCGCCTTTAACTGCATTTACTGAAAGAACAGCTGTGGAGGAAGATCTAGGAAGCGGTAAGAGAAGCACTTGATTCATTTATGAACTAACAGGATATCTAAACTAAGCATCAAGATTTATTTTACAAATTGACAAAATGTCGGAAATATTGTACATTGAAAATTGGTAAAGGATGCATGAATTTGAGCACCGTAGACTGCACTATGTCCCTCAGGTCTGTTGGAGGTGGAACAGGAGGATGAACTGGAGGACACTTACTGGTCCGGGACAGCCCCCCTTTGTTTTGGAGGGTGTAAAGGCAGACACTGGGAGCTCAAGAGAGACAACTGTGGAGATTCAGACTGCTGCTGGGTGGGATACAAATCCTTCTATAGAGGTACACCTGATCATCATCTTAAAATCATCTTTATGTGGAACATGTCTCAAAAGTCTGTTTTTTTTTTGTGTTGTTTTTTTTTGTCCATGCAGTGGAATCCATTGTAACAACAAAAACAAAAAAAACCTGTTACTTTAAGAGGTTTTAAAACCAAAATATTTACCAGCGTTCTTCAAATATCTTCTTTTGTGTTCAGCAGAAGAAAGTAAGTTAGGTTTGAAACATGATTGAGTTTTCATTTTTGGGTGAACTATCCCTTTAATGTAATGTACTCCATTTTTGTTGCTATCACTATTTCCACAAAACCAAAGATCCAGCTATTGATTTGTGTGTGTGAACTACAACTTTTTATGTGTTTTATGTGTTTATGTTTTGTCTCATGTTTAATCTTCTGTCATTTTCTTTTCCCTAGTGAATTGTGGAAAGCCTGATGTGGACTTTAATGGGATGGTGTATGGGAGTGATTGGTGGGTGGGTTCTGTAGTGCGGTACGACTGCAGGCCAGGGTTCGTGTTGGTGGGAGATCCTGCCCGAGCCTGTCAGTCCAATGGGAAATGGACACCCAAACCGTCCTGTCTCAGTAAGTCCTGGTCTGGCTGGACGTTGCACACAAATGATGGAATTACCCAGAAAGTGCACACAAAACTGAGACCTAATCTGTCTTAATCTCATGTACTGTTTGTATAGTATATGAGAGACTGAACACAAACTAAAGTAGTTATAGTTAGTACTGTTGCTAAAAATAATTCTTCAAAATTACCTCACACTGTAAGAAAAAAATCCATAGATAAATGGAAAAGGTACTGGAAATTTTCTGTCAGGATTTTATCCACGAAGTGCAGGCATTGTTTTGTCTCATGTTTAATCTTCTGTCATTTTCTTTTCCCTAGTGAATTGTGGAAAGCCTGATGTGGACTTTAATGGGATGGTGTATGGGAGTGATTGGTGGGTGGGTTCTGTAGTGCGGTACGACTGCAGGCCAGGGTTCGTGTTGGTGGGAGATCCTGCCCGAGCCTGTCAGTCCAATGGGAAATGGACACCCAAACCGTCCTGTCTCAGTAAGTCCTGGTCTGGCTGGACGTTGCACACAAATGATGGAATTACCCAGAAAGTGCACACAAAACTGAGACCTAATCTGTCTTAATCTCATGTACTGTTTGTATAGTATATGAGAGACTGAACACAAACTAAAGTAGTTATAGTTAGTACTGTTGCTAAAAATAATTCTTCAAAATTACCTCACACTGTAAGAAAAAAATCCATAGATAAATGGAAAAGGTATTGGAAATTTTCTGTCAGGATTTTATCCACGAAGTGCAGGCATTTGCTTTAATCCTAAAACACAACAAAATGCAATGCATACGTCAAAGGAAAGGGAAAACACCTGTGAAAAATCACTACAGATACTTCTTTCGTATTAACACATAAGTGCATTGTTCCCTATTTTTAAAGATTTTTCTTAGAGTGCATAGTCATTGTCCATAACATGAAAACATGAAATATCTAGTACTGATACATACTATTTTTAATAAAAAGTGCATACATGTATTAAGTTGATCAGCTTTTTTAAATAATATTTATATTATTAAAATATTTTACTTTAGGTCAAAGTCTGAGTTTTGGAGATTAAACAATAGTTATGGTCAGTTACATTTTACACAGAAATGAATTTCATTGGCTGTATTCAATATAAGTTAGGTACAATTCTGTCTCTCCTCCTGTATGTGACATTAGGAGTGTGTCATCGTGGCCGGGTTGAGATCAGTGAGAAGGACATTGACGGGACATGTTCGTCCACCTGTCCTGATGCTAAGAGCTATGCAATCCCTCTGAACCACAAATGCAGTCGAATTGAGAACTGCAGAACTAAAGAATCGGGCTGGAAGCACTGGTTTACACGCTGCAACTACTGCGACTGTGACTGCTTCACTCCCTGCGGTAAGTTTTTATAGAGTCATTTAAATTGTGGCTAGTTAAAGCAAGTGGCAAATACTGTAACTGCAGTAATGCAAACAATATTTCAAAATCAGTGTTCTTGTTTGTTCCCTCAAGCTTCTACAGGATAGAAGACAGTGAATCTGTATTCATTTTCCTTTTCTACAAAAGCCTAAACATTCGGAAATGTTTTTCCCTGATCTGTGTATAGTAGTACAGAGATGAACTCATAATGTTGTTACCCTCTGAGCATAAGCCAGGTGAAGAGGGAGCTCTATGAGTGCTGAATATACAGTACTGGGAATGTACATTTGATTGTATCTAGTTAGTTAGTCATAATTGTGGAAAGATAAGAGACACATTTCAGTTCCATAAGTGATTTTATTAGAACATTATGCTTCTGTAGATACAATGAAATTATTAGTTTATTCATTCACTTCATGATTGATACAAGATTAATGTAGTATCGTATTAATATAGTTGAATCAGAGTTGAATCAGCATCAGAGGGGTCTCATTTATAACCATAAATGTGATAGTAGAAAACAAATCTCCTTTTAGTCCCAAGTGGTGAAATTCATGATGAAATTCTCATTTTTCTTGGGTTGGTAGCAGCCGATTCCTGTAGAAGATTGAGGGGAAAAAAATATTTTATATTTGTGTTGTAAATAAAGTGAAACCAAAATACAAAAAAAAAAAATTGTCTTGCTCCAATATATTTGCACACATACTGTGTGACATAAAGTGAGTGCTATATAATTAAACTGATGCACTTACCCACGTTCAGTCGGGTTATAGTGTTTCCTTTCTTTGACAGAAGCTCCCAGTATGTGTGGTTTTCAGTAGATCCAGCCAGTCCGTTCACACTCTGCAGATATATGCCATAGCTTTTGCTAATGTTGTATGTGAAGCTAATAGAAATACATGTAGCAAAATTAGCACAAAAAATTAAATTAGCACTACAACAGTTCCTTATAGTCCTGAACATTGTACAGTAGACTGTATAGGTTTCCCCATAACCTATTAACCTACTATACTATGCTTGTTTTATGGCTTGTAAAGTACATGAAACCAGAATAATTTGATAACATTTAGTGCCATACTTGAAGTTGTTGTTTGTGTCGTGTAGTTGATTTAAGACCCCAAACATCGGCATTCCCACTGTCGCAATAGGGGAGTAGGAGACGTTTGTGTTATTGAATTTATTAATGACAGTCACCTTAATGGGGATCTGTCCCTGCTTTCCTGTTAAGAAGAGAAATTTTGTACAAGAGAGTCTCAGAGAATCCTATTAAATCATACTTCTCAAATGTTATTTGACCTAAAATGATTTCAATTCAATCATGTTTCTCCTTATTTGAAGCAGAAATCATGGCTTTATAGAGGAAAACTCACCTGAGTGGTCATCACGTCCCCCCAGTCCTGGGAAAGGCAGCAAAGCTGCAAAGCACAGAAGACTAATCGCTGTTAGAGCCATTCTACCAGTCTGCCCAGTGTATCTGAATGTCTCTCACAACCACACACCCTATATTTATATTTATTTTTTTGCATTCCAACTTTTTAAGTCATATCATTCCTGGGAAAGTCATACCTTAAAAAGGAGTGGTCAGCCAAGAACATGAGGAAAGAACATCAAACAGATCTATGATAGTTACATTGATTCTTTGTTCTCGTCTTCCAAAAACGTATTCAGTCATCACATTATAGGAACAGTCTGAAGAGGAACTTGAATGACAGGAACAAGGAAGAGAATCTGTTTAGGATTGTTCATCGCAAAAGTACCAGGAAATAAATAAATAAATATAACAAAGAATGCACTGTTGCCAAAAAATATTTTTGAAGAAAAACATTCCACACTGTAAAAAAAAAAAAAGCAACTATAGAAGCTCCCAGTATGCGTGGTTTTCAGTAGATCCAGCCAGTCCGTTCACACTCTGCAGATATATGCTAAAGCTTTTGTTAATGCTGTATGTGAAACTAATAGAAATGAGCAGAATTAACACACACACAAATTAAATTAGCAAAAATCTGAGGCTTATACAATTGAATGACAACACAATCCTTGAGTCAGGGACTGTGTGTTCACGTTTGACTGTAGTAAAATGAATGCAGAAAATGACATTTCCAAAAAAAAAGGATATATAGGATTTTTTTCCATATCTTTAAAAGGAGTGGTCAGCCAAGAAATGCAGGGAAACAAAGATTGACAAACAAAGAAATATGGAATTTACTTAAAGCACATGTGAAAGTCAAGCTAAACAGCAAATATGACATCCCATGGCTCACTCCCTAAACCTAAGTCCATATTGACTAGTCAGATCTGACTGTAAAAGCCTCTCATCTCATCAGAGATTATAGAATAATTATAGTTACTTTAATTAATTGTCCTCGTCTTCCACAAACGTATTCAGTCATCACATTATAATTAGGTTTAAATACTATACTATTCTATGCTATGCTATACTATATTATACTATACTATCTCTTTTTCAATTTACAATGTATTTCACTTTGAATTTGATGAAATTGTATTAGATTTGAAAAATATGCATTTACTTGATTTTTAAATGTCTGTAAATGTTTGTTAAGCAACAAAAAAAGAGGACGACAATCTATTTAGGATTTTTTTTAATTATTATTGCAAAAGCAATAAATTAAACATAAATTAAACTTGAAATATAACAAAGTTATATTTAATGTGCATATTTTAGAGCTGGGAAAATCATTTCACTAGATTTTTACATTTTTTTGAAGACTATATATAATTGTATGATGTTTTTTTCTTGCCTGGAAATCACCATTTTAAAGTCCCTGATATTTCAAGGTTTTCTATGGTTCTTTATAGCCAGTGAACTAATCCAAATATTGTAACATTAAAGTAGCATAATTTAAGTACACAGCTTCCTCAAGGTCACATATGTAAATAAAGGTAAAAAAAGCCCCAGAAAAAAAACTGCAAAGTGAAAAGGACTAATTGTTGTCTGTCTATTTAGCCATCTAAATCACTACAAACTCAGACTACAAAAGCCCAGATATTCTGAAACATTGCTGTTTTTCCTGTTCTGTATTTAGTACAGAGATGAAGCTTTAAACTTGTTACTTGAGCATAAGCCAAGTGAAGAAACACTAATATACAGTGGGTATAAAAAAGAATCACCCCCATTCCTGGAGCATTTCAGTCCTTGGTAGTGCAACTGAATCTGGGATAAAGTTGTGGACAGGCACAAGTCAGGAGATGGATAAAAAAATTCAAAGGCTTTATCAATTCCTAGAAGCACAGTGAAGTCTGTTATTAAGAAGTGGAAGGTATTTGGTACAACACAGGCCTTCCCTGGATCAGGACGTCACTCCAAACTGGATGAAAGAGCAGGAGGAAACTGGTCAGAGAGGCCACCAATAGGCCTACAGCAACTCTGAAGCAGTTAACACAGACCCTCCCTGGATCAGGACGTCGCTCCAAACTGGATGAAAGAGCAGGAGGAAACTGGTCAGAGAGGCTAAGAGGCCTACAGCTACTCTGAAGCAGTTGCAGGAATTTATGACAAAGAGTGGTCATCGTGTGCATGTGACAACAATATCACAAATTCTCCACAAATGTGGCTTGTATGGGAGGGTTGCAAGAAAAAAAAGCCACTCCTCAAGAAAGTCCACATGCAGTCACGACTGAGTTTTGCCCAAACACACCTTGAAGATTAAGAAGCAGATGAGACTAAAATTTTATTATTTGGCCTCAACACCAAACGATATGTCTGGTGGAAATCCAATACAGCTCACCATCCAAATAACAGCATTCCTCCAGTAAAGCATGGAGGTGCTAATATCCTGTGATGGGCTGTTTCTCTGCAGCAGGGACCTGGAGCACTTGTCAGGATAGAAGGAAAATAGATAATGGGGCAAAATACCGTCAAATTCTTGAGGAAAATCTGCTGCCTTCTGCCAGAAAGTTGTCAAAGGGAAGAAGGTTTATCTTCCAACATGACAGTGACCCAAAGCACACAGCAAAACTGAGCACACAGTGGTTGAAGGAGAAAAAGATGAATGTCCTTGCATGGCCCAGTCAGAGCCCAGACTTAAACCCCATTGAAAATCTGTGGAATGACTTGAAGACTGCAGTCCACAAACGCTCACCATCAAATTGAACTGAACTTGAGCAGTTCTGCAGAGAAGAGTGGGCAAATATTGCAAAGTCTAGATGTGCAAAGTTAGTAGAGACAAAGACATATCCCAACAGACTAAAGGCTGTAATTAAAGCAAAAGGTGGTTCAACAAAATACTGACACATTCTTTTCTATACCTACTCTATTCTATTTGTTTGACTCCAGTTAGTTAGTATTGTTAAAAGATCAGGGAGGCTTTTCAGTTTCATCAGCATACGTTTATTAGAGTATTATACTGAGAACACAATGAAATTATGAGTTTATTAATTGTTAAATTTTGTGTTGATTCTAATATGTGGTTTTAATTCGGCAGTAACATTTAGAATAACTTAATACAACTGATGTTTAAAAAAAAAGATCTATTTTTTGGCCCAAGTGGTGAACCTCAGGATCATATTCTCGTCTCTCTGGGGTTGGTAGCAGCCAATTCCTGCAAAACATTGAGACATTCCAGAATTCAGAGTATAAATAACCTATATTTAAAAGGAAGCTATTTGTATTTTGTGCATTTGAAAACTATTTTGATTTAATTATTTTGTGTTATAAATTAAATCAAGATTAAGCCAAATGTCCTTTCCTGCACCACAACAATAAAGTAATGTTATATGATTATCTTCATTCACGTACCCACTTCCAGTCGGGTTATAACTCCTGCTTTCTCAGACAGAAGCTCCCAGTATGTCTGATCCTTATCAGATCCAGCCAATCCGTTCACACTCTCCAGATATATGCCAAAGGTTTTATGAATAGTGTATGTGAATCTATTGTTGTATCAAAAATAAAGAATTAATCAGAATTAGCACAAAAATTCAGTTCACAGTCTGCTTTCTAAATATTTTGTTAGCCCTAAGCCTTTACAATGAACTGACAAGACAACTGTTGAGTCAGGTATGACTGGAAAAACATCTCAGGCTTATCACAGATAGGCCCCATTTCACCATAATCTTATTCAGTCATTACACTACAAATGCTTTTGATTAAGTATGTCAGTCATCACAAGTAAGTTAATCACAACCAAAGTTAATCAGGTATACTCTTCTATACTACAGTCACATTACTGCATGTGAAGTGTACTAAACAAGTAAATTCAGTAAAAGTTTGTGGAGTACTTGAAACCGTCGTTGGTGTCCTGCAGTTGATTTAAGACACCAAACATCAGCCCTTCCTCTACCACAGTGGTGGAGTAGGAGATCTGCTCATTAGTTAATTCATTAATGACAGTCACTCTAACGGGTACCTGTTCCAGCTTGCCTATTCGAGAGAGAGAGAGGGAGGGAGAGAACAGCATTATTTAGTTCAAATACATGCTGTAGTAATTTAGAGCATTAATAAATTTAATAACAAATAATGAGGTAATCTGTCATGAATTAACTTTTTGGTCTTTACTCAGTTTCTGTGGATAATAGTGTTTTCATAAAAGCTAACATAAGTATAATAAAATTAATACTTTTTCATACCTAGACCTGCAAGGAATTAAACTCAATCCTCACCTGAGCCTGCAGGCAGCCCCAGTCCTGGGAAAGGCAGCAAAGCTGCAAAGCACAGGAGACTAATTGCTGTCAGAGCCATTCTACCAGTCTGCCCAGTGTATCTGAATGTCTCTCACAACCACACACTCTATTTATATTCTGGGTTTCCTTTGCATGCCAAATTCTAGATAATAAATTATTAGTTTTATGGAGAGGCCTTATCTCTTACCTTAGAAAGGTGTGGTCTGCTAAAGGATTTTTGCCATGGATTAATTGATGCTTGTTTCTGAGAAATATTGAGTACAAACTCTGATAACATTGAAAGTAGAGAAGTAATTATTTGGCAAGGACCCAGTGACCATATTTTGTCTTGTATGTTGTAAGATATGACATGTCAAATATGCTGTAGAGGGTGAGGATTATGTGGTTATGTTATAATTTACCACTGACCTCTCTTACCTCTTAAAAGTTAGTGTACTTTTCATTAATAAACATTAATTATTAACCATCACAAAATAACCTGACCACAGTTTCTTCATCTCCAGTGATGTGCAGGCGCTATCTTAGAGTATCTTGTGAGGAAGAAAGTCTCTGAGCAGTTATTCTCTTTATGTATAATTATTTTATTTAATAATTTCTTAACCTGCCCAGATTAGTTCATTACAGTTTAAAGATTGATTTGTAGATTATGTAAATATCAGAATTCCTCCATCCATTAATCTCTATCTATCTATCTATCTGTCTATCTGTCTATCCGTCTATCCGTCTATCCGTCTGTCTGTCAGTCTAATGTCTGTCTGTCTGTCTGTCTGTCTAA